CTCAGTCATCACCCCCTCACCCCCACCCCTTTGCTCTGAAGTAAGTTTCCCAGAGACCTTTACTTTTTCTCAGTGCTTCATTTAAAGCAAAAACTTAAACAAAAACTTAAATGTCCAAGTCCCATAACAGAAACGCAAACAATACAGAGTTATTGGAAATATGCTTTTCCAGCTGAAATAATTTTCCAGGTAAAAATCATTTAACTTTAAAGATGCACTGTTTTAAATTTGTAAGAATTTTCACAAAATTGGCTGAGAAAGTACTGAATTTTAAAAAGGTACAGTTTCTTAGGCATATTTTACAGTTTGAAAATCTTATTAAAATTATGCTCAAGGCTTACTCCTTTTGTAATAGAAATACAGATTTGCTATTATACAATTTAGGTTATGTTTCAATTTTTCCTCTCATGTGGGAACTGTACCTCAAATTGGGCTATTGATATGTTCAAAAGTATTTATAAGAAATTATGCTTTTAAGCAGGGTGTGTGACGTTAGAAGGTAAATTCAAAATTATCCTCAAATCTTTTCAACGTGTATGCAGATCTTAATTTCAACTCCTAAAGCGAAGACCTCAACATTTAGCTGACTTGCAAAGCATTTTATGAACAGATTAATTTGTGTATTAGTGAAATCAGTGTGTGATTAATTTCCTTTGCTTAAAAAACTCTCCGTTTTCCCTCCACACAGTGAACATGGCCACGAGCAGGCTAATAGGTGCCGTGGCCGGCACCATTCTGGCCCTGGGGGTGATTTTTGGAGGCACAGGGTGGGGAATAGAGTAAGCATCTTTGTGAGTTGCAGAGTGTTTGTGTCTGGTTTCTGGTGTCCCAGCCGACCGTGGTGCCTGACCCCGCGTGTTGTCTTGTTGGCGTGTTTCTTGTGACGGTGCAACTTGTGGCGTGCCCTGGTTGTGTTTGTGGTGTGTGGTTTTTCTCGTGCAGTGGAGAACCTTCTCCTGTCTGGAACAATGTGGGGCATTAAATAAAATTGGGGTATTTATGAGGTCTTCACCATTGAGACAGCAATCCAAAAGTTTCTATTGCTCCTCCACTTATAAATTTAAGTTACAGCCTTAAAAAAAAAAACTGTTTCTTGGCAAAAATGATTTTATATGAATGTGTTATTAGGATTCTTACAGTGAATTCAATCTTCACCCCCAAATAGATCCAAATCTACAACCAGGAATTATCAATAAAAGGTAATCTGAGTGATGGCCACTAATATTTTCTCCATTTATTTAGAGTGATGTAGGAGGCTTCAGCTTAATTATTTCTGAAAGAAGATATTTAGGAGACTGCCTTTCTTTTTCCTTATAAAATAGGTTAATAATTTAAAGTAGAAGTTCTCATAAATATTTGGAAACAAGGTGAATTAAGAATGAATACATATTTAATCCAAACCTGCAAAACCTTAAATGAACAGCTACAGATTATTTGGTGGTTAGTTTAAAAACACCCAGTGTATAAATACATATATTATGTGTTGCTCTCCCCTTGAACTCTCACAGAAGTACACTTCTCCTGGCACCTTTATTTAGGTTACTCTGTACTTGATCCACATCCTCAGAATAACTGCCAGTTCTCTGTGGGACATGACTATGAGATTGTGAATCTCTAGACTAAAAAACTGTTGTGATTTTTTTTCTCCTTTCTTGAATTCGAAAGGGCACCTACAAATAACAGATATACCTCATTCATGTGCTCAATTTTTTCTGTTCACTATGGTGATGGTGCTGAGTCTTTGCAGTGGCCCAGGAATGAATTACTATTATCTTAAGGAATCACCAGTTACCTTCCGGTCAAGCAGCCCAAACCACTGGCATGTCAGTAACATCTCCAATGCCTCCTTAGTCCCATGAATGGCAAATGATCTTCTAGGGTAGGGACTGGGAGGCCCCAGCACCAATATAGCATGAAGAGGGGAGCAAGTTTATAGGTCCTATTTGTGTTTGAGATTATCTAAATCTTTACCCCACTGGATCAAAGAGTTTTGAGTAGGTTTGGGATGTCTAACTCCATCAGTATGGACTGTGAAGCTAGTTACCCAAAGGAATACTGGAAAACATATTCTGTTTCTCTTTACTTGTTAGAAAATAAAGTATATAGCAAAAGTAAAACATTTAGGGAAAATAACAGTCCTATAAAATTTCCCCTTGGGTCTATTGATATATAATTTGGGATTATATGCTGAAGTAATAATCCTTTCCAAAGGAAATTCTACATTCATGTACCTGATGGAAAGGGAGTACTGTAAACATAATCCCAACTCTGCTTTTTATATTATTTATTGACCATAGTTTGCGGTGTATTAGTTGAAGGGATGAATTTTAATAATTTTCCCTTGAGTCTTAACGATAGACAAAAATACAAGGTCTTTGTTGTAAAGTTTAGTCCTTGTTACCGGTATTTGTTTCCATCCATCCTTTCCAGTGTTGTTGCTTTGTGGCTATTTCGGCTTATGCAGGTAAGTCCATATAAGCATATATATTTTTCCTAAAAATAATTTTTTTTACTTAGTAGTCCCAGTTTAGGTACTGCTTTTGTCTGCCATTTTATTGATATTTTGTCCTTCAAATTCTAAATTTGCCATATTAGCTAAAAACAGTGATTTTGAAAAATAAATCCGCATGGTGCAATATAGATTGATTTAACACTCCCTAATTTAACAGACTGGGTATGTTTATTTAGTCACTGAGAATTCAATGGCCAAAAATTGATTTTGGTTTGATTTGTTGCTTTTATTTCTGTTCCTTAGTGTATAGTTGCAAATCAGGAACCATTTCTCATGGATTGTGTCCTGTTCTAATCACCTCCTACCTTTTGTGAGCTAGTAAAGTACAAATCTAAAGCATAGCATATGTGTATGGTAATATAAATATTTTAAAAATATTTGTTTCAAAATTTGGTTCTCTGTTAAAATGTAGGGAGGAAGTACATATAAATGAATAATATTTCATTAGCGAGCAGGACTTAGCAGACTTTCTGTGAAGGGTCTGTTAGTTTTGGCTTTGAAGGTCACAGGATGTCCATCACGACCTGGCCTCTATGCTGTGTGAGTATCAGGACAGCCAGGGGCCACAGTAACATGGGGAGTGGGTCCGCTTGAGTACTGTGTCCCTAAGAAACAGACAGTGGGGCCTATTTTGGCCTATTGGCTGTTATTAGTGTGTCGACGCTCAAAATTTATAGCTTAGAATTAGACAAATATGTGCTCTGCTCTTGCCTCCATCACTTTTGAACTTCTAGAAGCCTCTGATTCTTATTCAGTGGAATAGACACAGTTTTTTTAATTCTCCCTTACATCGTTGTTCATTTTTGTACAGTATTCGATTTCTCCCCTCATGTGTAGCCCCCATTTTTCTCCCACCACCATAGCACCCATGACTATCACCATAGTCCCTTGTGCTCTTCCCTCCCCTGTTTTATCCCTCCCCTTCCTCTGCTGTGTGTCTCAGATCTTTGGTTTGCCTGAATGTTTTGTCTTTTTCCTAATCCTTTGTTAGGTTTCCCTATATTCCCCTTATAAGTGAGACCATCTGACATTTTTCTTTTTCCTTCTGACTTATTTTGCTTAGCATAATCCCTTGCAGCTGCATCCATGTTGCCGCAAATGGCATGGTTTTATCTTTTTGATTGCTGAGTAGTATTCCAAATCTTTTTGATCCAGGAATAGAACAGTTCTGCCTATTTCACTAAAAGCCACTGAGATTTGTGTACTCTAGAACCTCACTGGTTAGTCTGAAAAGTGTGTCACCAGCCCAGGAGCGTGAAGAAACCACACCCCCAGACTGATTTCACCCGGCCTCCACCTTTCTACCAGGCTCCCAAGCTCGGGGTGATCACTAAGTCAAAACCTAATGCACACAATTTCAGTGCTGCTCAAGGTGGCATCCATTTATGTACACAGTCGAGGGCACCGATGTGAGCAGAAAAGAGAATTTTTATCCCACAGAAATGAGTATACACAAACTCCATTATTTTAGGGGAACTGCTGAAATTGACCTTGTGACTTCTGGAACAGGGATATACGGTTAAATTTGAAAATACTTGCTTTGGGGACACTGTACCTGCCATATTAGCATCTAGAAGAAAGAGAGATTGAAAATAATCCTTATACTAAATTTGAAGTTGGTCACACTTAAAAATGGTGAGTTACGATGTTTTCTGTGTGTGCGGAGATGATTTACTGTACTGTGCATCAGTTTCTTATTCAAACAATTGATAGACTCTCTATTTCGTATTTTCTTTCTTGCTGACCTTCCTGTTCTCTTTATAGATATATAGGAACTTAAAATACAGTCTCAATCAAACCTAAGGGATCTCTTTTTCTGTTTCCCCCAAATTACCCAAATGAGTTTTATGTTCCCTTTATATCTTACTGTTGAAATCCCGTTTTGCTGCTTCAACACTATGGGTCTGTACAGTGAAGAAATATGACTTTAAAAGCAAGTCTTCAAAGTCAGATCTGTACTGGTAACTTCCATCTGACTTCTCAGTTTTAACTGTCTTCAAGTGGGGGATTAAAAAGTCTAGTGATCACATATAAGTGAAACCAGCTTGCTGTGTTGCTTGAAAGAGCACTTTAGTAGATTATTTTTCCCCTTCTTTTCATGTCCTTATCTGCCAGTCGGATCGAGCTAACTCTAATGCAGTCATGTTCTTTATGTGCTCTTTGACTTGTTTATGATTCTCGGGAAGGGTAGAAGAAGGATGTGCAGCCATTAGGCATATTGGCTTCAAATTCTGCGAAAGGTGAATTTAATGGAACTTAATTGTCAATGGTGCAGAAGCTTCAGATTTAAAGACAGACATATCCGAGCAATAACTGCAGTGACTGTCCATAACATCTGAAGTGCAATTAAGCTAAATAAAGGAAATTTACATGTTTAGCAGTCTTTTACATAGGGTATTTATTTCCTGAAACCTCTTAACTACCTTTCCCTTGTAGTACCGAAAGTGGTTGGCTCATATGACTTTCTTCCCATGATCCTTTGTCACAGGTCCTAGTGCCACCAATCTCATAATAGGCTCCATCGCTGGTGCCATCCTGGTAGCAGCTATTGTCCTTGGGGGCACAGGATGGGGATTTAAGTAAGCAACGCCGCATGTCTTCTTCTCAGTGGCTCTGGCACTTCTCTTTTCTGCTTACATAACCAAGTTTTGAGTTCCTGCTACAAGATCTCAAGTTTGAACCAGTAAAATTACTAAAAATAAACACTTTTATTTAGAAATGAGATAGAAAAGAAGAAATATGGGCTCTCAAATGTCATTTTCAGGCAAGCGGGAAAACATGAAATGTACAAGTCATTCACATGTGCTAGTTTAAGGAGAACAAAGTAAAAGTACTTAATGGAAGACATTCCCATGTGGAGAAGCAAGTATTCTGAGATATACTTATTTATGTACAGATCATCAGGGAAACTATATAGCTGGAAATAAGTGCATATCAACTCTTTATATATGTTTAATATTGGCTTATATCCCATTGGCATTTTGAATTTGTCACTATTCAAATAACCACCCAGTCATTTTTCACATGGAACATATATATGTAGCTTTGTGAGTTGAAAATTTCATTATTTTATAAAAACATTTTAGAATAGTTTCATGAATTCTCTAACCAATTGCATTGGTTTCACATTGGAATTTAAAGTCTGTGGCTTTGTGATACTTAATGTAGTCTAATTAACTGCTGCTATCTACATGTCTCATAAGCCTGGTGTGTATGTATTCATAGTGACCTGTTTAGTTTCGATTTTGCATTGATCAGTGGTTTAAATAGGCACATGAGATAATCACAAATTAACTTTCAGTGTGATAAAATATTTTAAACCTAATTTACCCAGTTTGACTGTTTCTAGACCTCAGATTTATTGGATAATTGCTTTTTAAATATTTTCATGCTGTGCTGACTTGATTACTGTATTATAATTTGTAGATAAGATTCCCTGTAGTAGATATTCTCTGTGATAAATTTTCAAGCTAGCAAAACCAATTTATGTGGAAAGTAAGACCATTACCCAAATTCCAAACCCACTTTGCCTCTTACCTATTCAGTAGAGGAAGTTTTTGACCTGAATTATGTGAATATTTGCCTTGATTTTGAACTTTATTCTGTTATATGTCTGTAATCTTGAATTCAACCTATTTAAGCCAGCTAAAATGTTAATTAGAAATGAATGCATTATGAAAGAAAAACAAACCAAAAGATTATTTAAATAAATCCAACATTTTCTGCTGATTTTATTTTATTAAGATTTAATGAGCCTATAGTTTTTGAGTAGCTTCAGCTTGGATAGGTGTTACCAAATGGCAATTGTTTTGTAGAGATATTTATAAACTTGAACTTGTTTGGTGAAGCATTAGTCATAAATTGGCATAGTGTGTTTTCAAAACTATACAAAATAGGCACCTCACATTAGAATTTCTCCTCATGATATTAACAATGCCTTGCTCAGATAATGAGTTAATGTGTGGCACCAAACAAAAGATTATAGGTTTGTTTGGGTTTGCCTATTTCAAGCAAAACCTTTTCTTAGTGCCTCATCACTATAAAAAAAAATCATTTTATGTTATAGTAGTTTAATGATGTTATTATCCTATAATGTTCCCTTTAACATTTCATCGATATGCCTCAAGAAGTGTACATTTGGCTCACGCCCAACCTGATGCCTCCTTGGCATTAGGAAATCTCAGTTTTAAAGCTAGAAAACAGTCAGTTATACATCTTGGCCCTCCAGCCACATGTCATGCCAAATTTATGCTTTCAGTATTTGGAGTTAAGAGCACTATTCTGTAGCAGGACCTCAAAACAGTGGCCTGGCCTAGCTCACAGCTTGAACTGCATGTTTCTTTGGGGAAAATGGAAAAGCCTTTATCACTGTGTATATAAGTGGATTAGGCCCTGTACAGATTTTTTTCTACCTGAAAGAGATGTCTAATCATCGGAAGCACAGAAACAAAAAATGGGGCTGGGGGATGGACACTAGTGGGGTGAACAACGACCTCCGTTGACCACAGAGTGGAGCTTGCTGTGCAGATGTGACCCTAACAATTACTTCAAAGGAAAGTATTGTAGGAAGGTACACAATAGTGTGAAGTAAGTATTTTCATGCTTTCGAGAGTGAATCATTCTGAAACATGCAACTTGAAATTAAATTTGCACAAACTGCTTCTTTTCCCTCTGAGTATTGGTTGCTACATGTGGACTGGAATTTGTTTTAGATTTTAATATTAGGTATGTGGTTTGTATTATACTTCAATTAACTTTACTTTGCAATAAAAGTTTTTGGGTGCTATATGATAAAAGTTAGACTTTCCCATAACTTGGGCAACTGGGGATCTTCTCAGGCTAAAAATGATTTGGAAGCATAGTTATTTGCTGGTGAAGTGAAAGCTTTTTAGTTTTTCACTGAGGTCAATACAACAGAGACATTCCTTTGGAATCTGAAGTTGGAAATAGTTTGTAAAAAAGATTATTCTAAATACCTTCATTGGAAATCCCTCCTAAAATAAGGTTTTTATTACTGGAAGAAAAATTAGCAAAGTAACCTGAAAAACTTAAGGGGACATAAGCATTTAAATTAGAGGAAAATATATGCACTGCTTAGGAGCTTAGCTTAGCTGCTTAGGTGCTTTTTCCTTAGTGTCATGTCTCCATAGGTGTAGCACTGATTGGTTTAGATGTGGAGCAAGTGTCATGTCATACGAGACCTATTTAGATAGTAATGAAAAATACTGGTGCTCTGACTCCTAATATTGTCTGCCACTTTTACAGTTCTTAAACCATGTTTCCTCTAAAATAGGTGGTAAAAAAGCATGAGTATACTTGAGTGTGTTTGCATGTGTGAAAGTGTACACATTTGTGTGTATAAAGTGATCATGAATCAAGATTTTTGTGATCTAAAAAGTATGTAATTTACTACTTTTTAGCAGGATAGTAGAGTTTGCTAGCTTCAGTTAATGCAAACAAGATTTTCATAAGAAGGATTGTAGTATTCCCAAGAAGGAAAAAATTCATTTGTTTGGTAGATATTTTCTTTAGCATATTTTGATATATTGGGTAATGTGGTAGCAACTTCACTTGATCCCATAATCCAGGATTGTAAGGATGTTAAGAGATGACTTATTCTAGGGATTCCCTGTTCTTATGGCCTTAGGGCTTTCCTCTGAGAAATACTGTGAAAAATAAATATAGGTCCTTGGTACACCAGTTTGTCCATTTTTCCCTATATCGGCATTTATTTATATTCACACCACATTCCTTTTCCTCTCAATCACCTACACCCACAGAATGAAGCTATGGATTATAGCACAGGGGAATTGCAAACTTCTGTCCTGGTTAACTCATGGAGAGTTATAGCCTCTATTCAATGGTGAATAATAATCCTACTTGATTATATTATTAGAGCTGTTACTTTTATTAGACATTGGGAAAAAATAGAGTGGATGAAAGATTATTTTCATAGCATCTTTCCTAAAGCTTAAGAAAATTGGCAAATGTATGAAAAGAGAATTTCATATCTCCATTTAAAAATAAGCAGAAATTCCCATTATTATCTTGACATGGCTTTTTATCTGACTTTCCCTAAATGCGGGAATAGAGATGTGAGCAATGTAGTTTTTTACATGCTTTATGTGCACATAAAGTGTATCAGCACCATAGGTGATAGTATTAGGAAAGAGAAGTTCCAGGTGATGGTAGGAAAAGAACTTGAAGGTAACAATGATACATATATATATATATATATAATTCAGATCACAAGACTCAGGATGAGTTGTGAGCTCTTCCCACCTTGTTATGTCTCAACCTGAGACATGCCATCACCTTGTCCCAGTACCCCTTTACTTGTTCTCTATGGATTTGGTGGCAGTAGTGGCCACAATGACCTGGCAGAACTGCTCTTGACATTAAAGGTGTTAATTTATTCAGTCTGTGTAATTATCGTAAGTGGGTTTCCTCTGGATGAGATCTTACTTGGGTTATAAGTTCCCACTGGGCCTAACTTTTAAGAGATTCCATTTGGCTTGTGTTCCATTTTGTTGACCACACTAAAGAAAAGACTGTTGATGCATTCACATAATGAAATATAAAGGAGCATATCTGGCCCATCACATGGAATGTTAACTGCATTGCTTGAATGTCAAGTTGAATGAAGTTCTAAAGGAACTTAATTTTCTCAAAAGAGAAAATGCCCTTTTTTTTTAGGCTTTTGATTTTTACAGAATTAGGAGATGGAGTTAACTTTAAGCTAGTTTTTTCATGAGGAAGGTAACCAAACTACTGTTTACCTGAATTCCATCACCATATCCCAGTGCAATACAAAGACCTTATTCTCCTGTGCCTGCTGCTCCTGGATTAGGCACTTTGTCACTGCCATCTCAGCAAATGGTGGTGGTACCAGGCTGGTCAGGAAAATTCAGTTCAGAGTCCTGACTCAACCCCTCGGGTCTATATTTAGTAGTCTAGGAAGTGTTGGGTGAGGGGTTCTTGGTGAGGACAACAAATCATCATGGGAAGACAAGAAGGTGGCAGACATGGATAAATATATTACCCTAGAAAGAAGCGCTAAAGGCTCTAGGGTGGATATTGTCCCCTGAAGAACTTTGTTTTGACTTTGCATTGATGTATATATATACAGTAGACAAAAGTATGGATTTTTCAGAATGTAGTAAAATTTATGCAAACTGGGTCAATTCAAGGTTTATGAATTACAGTGATCCAGAAATACCTTACAGGCTATGAGAAAGTTAATTGCCTTCAGAGCCCTAGTTCAGAGTGGAAGTTATTCAGAGACAACAATGGTGGAAGGAAGATAACGAGCACCTACCCATGATAGCTATTTTCATATTAAAATTTTTTAAAGACTGTTTTCGTATAAAAATTCAATACAGGGAATTATTAACCTACAGAATCCCATAATGGCATCACAAGTTATATGTGAGGCCGTCTTGAGCTCAGCCTGGTATAGGAATGTTTCCCTCTCTTCTCATCCTAAGGCCCTGCCTTCTTCCTGCTGGAGCATCAGTGGAGGAATTATAGTCCTGGAGTCTTCCATTGGTATCCAGAGTACATGTTCCCATAGATGTGTATGGTTCTACATGGTAGCTTGGTGTCCTGGTCTGGCTTGGAAACCCAGTTATCACAGAAAACCGCTTTTATTTTTAAAATGCAACCTAATCTTCAAACTTGTAAAAGGAGCACAAGCTTTTAGACACTGGAGTTTGTATGCCAGGTTGAAATGGAATTTTATATCTCCTGTTTTAAAATGAACCATTGTGATTTTGGATATGGCTATTCATCCGACATTCCCCAAATTCGAATAAGTGATTTGAGGTGGGTAATATAGTCATTCAGCACAGTGCCAGCTGCCTTGATCTTTCCTCAATATTCATTTTAATGAAGGAGTCATTAGTTGAACATTTCTTTCACATTCCATCAATACGAAGCTAAATAGGTTGGGGCCCCCAGAACTTCAAGGGTCATTTTATAAGGTTAAGCAGTTTCTGTTTTTCCCCAGCTAACTCACAGGAAATGTGGTTCCTTTTATATATGCCTCCAAGGGCTGAGAACATAGGTAGCTGATGCAGATTACATGCTTCAAAGCAAACTAACTCAGTGACAGATACGTTCTGTGAAACCTCCCTTTTATCTCACCTTTGTTTCCTGGGCAACATCAGCAATGTCTGCTTTCAAGAATATTGACTCAAAAAAGGGTTGGGGTAGGGGGTGGGCGGGGGTGGGGGGGGTTGGGTGACCAAGAAAAAGGAAGTATCCTGTTGCAAATAGTGTTTGCTGCAGGAAATTACAGCTTTGGTCATTACATGCATCACTAATAAAGATGTTATAGTGAAAAAAGTTTTTTTCAAGAAATGGGAAATTTTTCTTTAAATATTTTTATGCTTGATATTTACAAGGAGAAACATCTAAGTGGTCATCTTGGGGAAAATAAAAACTTTGTGGGATGGCTTTATACATATTTGAGCTTTGGTATTTTTTTAATTTTGAATTTCCTTTGGAAGGAGGACTAGACTGTAACCCTTTCTGTACTCAAGGCTGTAAGGGTACCCGTCTGCCCCGAGTGGGCAGGGGAAGGAGGGATCCTGGGGACACCTCGGTCTCCAGTTTGCATGACGCCTTGGTGGCAGCAGTGTTGCACCCGCCCAGTGCGCAGACTAAATGCATGAGCCCTCTTGCTTGATGCCCCACATGAAGCCAGACCATGGGGAGGTTGCAATCAACTCTTGTTGTTGCCTTGTAGTGTCTTGCTGGTTCTTTTCTCTCTTTTTTCAAGCGTAGGAACCACTTCTTAGGAGACTGGACACTGTGAGCAAGGCACTTTAACTGGCTTAATCAACTAAGCTAAACTGCTGCGTTTGCTTAACTAACCCAAGCCTGTGTCCATTCTCCTGTGAGTGTACGCTCTTACTGTGCACTCCGCTTCTCTACCTCCTAGATAGGAAAATACCTGTTCCATAGTGGGGTAAGAGCTCACACACCCAAGGCAGCAAGAAAACAGAATAGAGTGAGGCTAGTCAGCTTCTGGGCAGGGCTGGGCCACTGATACACAGCCCGAGTCCCGGAGGAACTAACTACAAGACCTCCAGAGCTTTCCTTATTTATCCTAGTAGCTCCCTAAACAGGAGCTCTACCTATGATAATCAGCTAGTTGAAATTAGCCAGGTCATTTACTTCTGAAATAAGAGACCAATTGGGTTGCTGAGCCTGCCTATATTTTAAAATGAACAACTTGAAGCTTCTTTTGGCCTTTACTCATGGATGTACTGTAGTGGAGGTGGGCGTTCAAAAGTGCGAGGAGCTTTGTGTTTTCATTTCAAACTATTTTGGAAAATCTGCCTCTGTGTGAGTTGATTACTTTGCTGTGGAACTAGTGTTACTGTCATTCTCATCATCCGGCTCTCATCATGATCTGATTAATGGTGTGGATTCCCCCCTTCCCCCCTCTGCTTGCATCTTCTTTTGACGCGCTCTGGAAGAAATGTCAAGAAGAGGAGGTTCGACCCGACTCAGCAAGGCCCCATCTGAGCCGGTGGCCCTGGAGGAGCAGCACCACGCGCTGCTGGGTTCCGGGTGTCACGTACTTGCCACGACGTTGCCGGAACTCCTCTGTAAACAAGAACACTGGGTGGTCATGACTACAGAACTGAAGTTGGGATGACAGGGATGGGGCAAAAGAAAACCGTCCTTTTTGGAAACAATTTCAAAGAACCCCTTCCACCACCACCTGTCAATAAATGGGGGCAAAAGACAATGTTTTAAAAAGAACTATTTCAGAATTTTTTTTTCTAACTAAAGGAAGAAGGAACAACAAAAAAATTAAGGGCAATAAAAGAACCATGAAAAAATAGCAAATGATTTTTTTTCTTTCCTCAGCCTGCTGGCACTTAATATCTTATAAATGATTTGGCATGATTTATTTTTCTTTTCCTATCAATGACACACTCCAGTGGCATGAAGATCTAATTTTCGAAAGGGTAAAAACTGCATGGCATATATACAACAAGCAGCTAGCAAGCCAATCCGCAGCCAAACCTGCAACTGAAATGCTAAAGTGAAGATGACAGATAAACACTCAGAAGCTGCCCGACCCCCACGCCCTAGTCTAGACCTGGCCATGAGTATCCCCACTGGCCTCTGCTCTTGTTCATTCACTTTCCCATTGTTTTTTCTCTTGGACTGATCATCTTTTGGAAATGGGAGCTGGAATTTGAATAATGATGCTACTGTATAGTTCTTTTATAAATGTAAATATGGAAATAGATTTTGACACGTCATTTTCACTTGTCTGTATGGAGATATTTTTCTTGTAAAGGTTCTCTGTAAATTTGAGTTTGCCTTTTGCTCCCCATCTTTCTGGTTTCTTTTCTCTTTTTCCGTCTCTGTCCTCTCTTTTAAGATGTACAGTGATTGTTGGGTTTGCTTACAAAAGACAGATGCAGCTACAGAGGCAGGGAGTTTGGGCACAAAACAGGTGCAAATGAACAAAACAGGTAAGAGTGAAAGACTTGAATGAAATAAAATGTTTGAAACCAAAAACAAAGGGGGGGGGCACAAATAAAAAAAATAGCCCACATTAAAAACACAAAAATTATGTAAATGCAAATGTATTTCCTGACAAGTCTATAAATTTTTTTGATGTCATTATGAACATATGTATATAATGTAAGAAAGTAGACACCCTCTCAAATTAATCACAAAAGTGCCAAGCTCATGATTTTAGTTTTTGGTTTTGACAATTTTCTTTCCCTGTCTTTAATGTGAAAGGGGGATAAACTTAAAGCCTTAAATTAAAAAAATAATTTTTAAACGTTGAAAGTTTGGGAGAAAAGTTAAGCTTCCATTTTGTTCATTTCTATTATTGTTAATATTTCATTTGTGCTTCCTCTGTATATATATGGTAAATATCTAGCTAGATATATATATATATACACACACACACACATATATATGGTAGAACCCCACTATAAAACTGATAATGGGAACAGAAGCCAGTCACCTCCTTGTGAACATTGTTCTAATGGGCTTTAATTCTGTGTGCTCTGTTTTCAAAAATCCTTATTCAAACCCATAAGTGTGTCTGGGATTATAATGAATTATAATGGGGTTCTATGATATATAAAGTCACCTTCTTTTCTCTCCAGGCAGATTTGCAGGTGTAATCTGGGTTCCCAGTTCCTCTGAGGTTACTTCACTTGCACTGAATCTTCCATGAATGGACAATATAGCTTCTGGTCAAATATTTAATAAATACAGTTAGAGAAATTTGGTCCAAGCTTCATACTGAACGTAAAGACTTATACATGACCCCTCCAGTGAGCATCTATCTAGAGCCTTACTGAAGACCCCCAAGTAGCAGACCCCCTCTTTGTTAGGACTAGGACCTGCAAGTGTGCTAGTCACTGCTTCGCGACAGCCAAGCCAGAGGTTGGATCTGACTTCTACCCCTTTTCAGCAAGATTCGTCACACTAGTCTCATAAGTTTTGCTTTGACTTTGAAAGGGATTATGGCCTAAAAATGTGCTCCTTAGAACTGTGGGGTTTTTCCCAAGAGATCTTTAATTATAAAAATATCACAGTCCCAGACAGAAAATTTAATTTTTCTGTGCTATAGTAGACCATAACCAAACATCTTAATCCTGATACTGCTTTCTGAGTACTAGGTGCTACATAGGTGTGGGGTCTTTCTGTTTATGTTATGATAACAGGGATACCTGCAGGGTCCGGAGCCCTACTGGGTATCAGGAGACTCAGGTGTATCCGCTGTCTCGGCCATGTCTCTTCCTGCTTGGAGAAAGCTTGGGGGAAACTCAGATTACTCAGCATCTCTTTCTGGTGCTGCATTGTTTATTTCTCTTTGTTGCTGGTCCTACTCACTATTAATGCTACACCGCTGCTGAGTACACCATACACATTTCACTGCTGTTCTGGAGGCACCAGGGTAACTTACTAGGCACAAAACCATGGTGGTTACAAAACAAGTTAAATCTCTATTGTTAACTTTTGAGCATTTCACAAACAACATTGTAAATGTGCGATGTTATGTTTTAAATCAGACCACAGTGGTCCCCAAATACTATGTACATATGGCAAATGTCAGTGTAACTTTTTGTTACACTGGCAGTTTCATAGGTAACCAAACCTATGCTCCAATGTTAAATTATTTGTGTGTATATGTAAAATGCACAAGCTCTAAGCTATGTGTATGGATCTGAAAGACGATGCAACCACACCAGTCGTAAACAATGGATTATTCTTACTTTTGGTGGTATTAGGTTATATAGTCTCAAACTCGTTGCTGTATTTTCTCTTGCACATGCCATTTCTCTTGCACATTGTTTTTTGTGGTGCAAATACTCCGTTTTATTCATTTGAGCTCAAAGCACAAGCATTTCACTGTTTAATGTTACCCAACAAGAGTTAGTGTTAAGTGATGACAAGTTCCCATTTCACCGCTATACTTTTGCTGCATTAATTAATGACACCCGGATGAGGAAATGTACCCTAACTTCATTGCTCACCCTGAGATACTGCATGAACCCACTGAATTTGAGCTACTCCTATTAGATAACTGAGCAGTACACATAGGTGCATGTTATGAAACATGAATCACATAGAGCTATGGAGTTTTACCAAGAGGTATGTGTGGTTTGTTTTTTTTTTTTTTTTTTCATTTTCATTTTTACTATGCAAAGATGGGAAATACACAAACTTTTCAAAGAGTAATATCTAAAAAAACTTAATACTTGAACCCTTTCTTTACAGTCATCCCATCATATTTTATAATCGTTGCTTCCATCATTAATTTTCATTTTTAAATGGTTTGTAATTTTTTAAGTGCACAACCTGAAGTTTTGTTTGAAGTTAACAGATGTATTCCATATCTTGTTTGCTGTCTATGAATGGAGATTCAGTAGTCATTGTAAGCATCTTTTAGTCAACTGTGTATTAAAACTTTCGTTAACATAGAATGTTGTAGCTTTATACTTTGATCATTTTCTCAAATCCTTTTTCCTGTGTTTTCTTGTATTGTTGATTAAATGGCCATGAGCCTGGTATCATCAAGAGTTTTAGTACCGATCTCTCAATCAAAGGCTCACTGAAATTTTAAGCAATGGAGCAAAATAAAATCTCTGATTAATGATAAATACATTCTTGATTAGGATTTGGTTTCATTGGATTTATTGAAAATGCTTTCCTTCTTAAAAATCAGGGGGAAATCCAGATTAGGATCATACCATAATCAATTTTTTTTACTTTCATGCCTCTTTTCTGTGCTCACTTAAAGAGGGATATCTAGTAATCACATATACACTGTAACCTAGTACCAAACTTACAAACTCTAAAGAACATAGTGGTATTTGGTTATACCAATTGTGTTATCAAAAATTTCAGAGGAAGATGTTTCCTTACTCTTTACAAGGAATTGGTCACCAAATGATATTCCTTCTTCAGGAATGTCTTTCAGTAAGTCACCCCTCCATCCCTACTGCCACACCTTAGTTTGGGCTCAACAAACATGTCCTGTCCTATAGCACTGACCCAGACATGCTAGTCTGGCATATTCCTTTGATGAAAGTTCAGGCCCTCTTCACCTCTTCCAGGATAAACTCCAGACTTGATAACGCAGCTTAGAGATCTGCCTTCCTTTCATGCCATGGTTCATTTTTCTGGTCTTTGCTGACTCTTGTCCTCTCACAGTCACCTTACTTAAAGTTCCCCTCAAAGAGCCTCTTTTATAATCTTATATAAATTTCATGTCCAATCACCATTTGTTTCTATATCTTTCATGTAATAAAAGAAACAGAAAATACCTTTAAATAACATGAATATTATACTTTAAGAAAGAGTGTTAGAGTGTCATTTACATTTGACTTTAAAAGAATTATCTGATTTTTGCATGTTTTCTCTTAAATCATACAGTTTTTGGGTTGATATTGAGTTGTGACCCAGGAACTTCCTAAATAATAAAACAGCCACCCTAGAATTGAAAGTTGTGTGTGAATAATTAAGAGGACAATCTATATGCTTACAGTGGTATTCCTAAATAACTTTTGAAATTTAAAATAGGTACCCATTAGGTCAATGTACAAGAATTAGGGACATTTATTTGGCTTATTCGTTCAGAAGCATTTATTAAGCCTCTATGCCAAGAACAACAACTAGAAATTGAAGGAACAAAGTTGCTCACAATATAGCAGGAAGAGATGCATATTTAAAACAAAACTAAAAACCTTTGAACCCAAGGTAATAAGTAAAAGAATTCATATGCTGGGAATAAAAAGAAGTGATTTAGGACAAGAGAGTGAGGGTTATGAGAAACATTCCTCCAAAAAGTAAGTTTTGAACAATCTTGAAAGATACGACTTTACCTGTCAAACAAAATGGGAAATCCTGAAGACACAGGGAGTAATGTGTCCCAAGACACAGGAAGAGGGACTCAGACTCCGGGTAAGTGAAACTAAGTGTCCAATCCAGTTAATCTGCTTTTCCAGCCATCCACTCGCCTTCCCTCCCAATCACCTGTCCCTCCCTCCTTTCTTCTTTCCCCGCTCCCTCCCCTGTCGCAAACAGAGGAGCATAAAAGTCGTACAGTGCTGGGCCAGGGCACAGGGGTGCAATGTTGAGCTTTCAATTTTGTGAGCAAGATTCAACATTTAAATATAATGTGATAAGTGCCTTAAAAGATATAAATACTTGGTGTTTTCAGGAGAGACTCGCTCCCTGCCGTTGAAAACAGGGAGGTTTTCACAGAGATGACATTTGAGGAAAAAGTTGTGCAATTGGCTCTACTACCAGGATCACATTGTTACCTTTAACCAGGTTCTCAGATTGGTGGAAGTCCATTCACAAATGCTTTGGAAGTAGAGCCGCCTGGAATATTCTGTTTTTTTTTTCCTACTTGACATGTGGATTTCTCCTGCTTCTGTAAATATTATTACTATAAAGTTCTCTGCTAGAACTTTCTATTTTTATATATTTTCCCATTGATATGTTAATCATGGATCCGTTTTAAATGTCTGGGTCTTTCAGTGATGACAAAGAGAGCTTCTTGACCTGACCTGTAAATCTCTGATAACTTGCTTAGCATTAAGATTCCTGGCTACTCTCAGTCTGGAATGAGGGGGTGGATAAGAACCATGAATGCTTGTTAAGCATCATTTAGGAAGTCCTCCAATAAAAGGGGGGGTCAAAATAATTTCCTAAGTGCAGCTGCACTTCCTATTCACCAGTTAGTGTTCATCTCTTTTATGCCTTGGGGAGAAAGTTGCCATTCCTTGATCTTTACAGAAAACTATCAGCAGCACTGGCTCCTTGACTAAATTATTACTATGTTTGTAATTTCTGGAGAAAGGAAATTCCATGATAGTTCATTAACTGAAAATTATTTTTGTTTTGGGATCTGCCAGTGCTCCTTTGCCAGCTAATTGTGTGTGCTCTGGAGTGACTGCAAGGACTGCAATTGTGATCTCACAAAGTCCACCTTTATGAAAACATTTATCTGACTGTGATGAGCATTGGAAGCCAAATTGACCCACCAAGATTGGCCCTAAGGGGGGGAAAAAAAAAAACAAACAGACAAAACAAAGCAAGGAAAACAAAACAAAAACTTTCATTCTGAATGAGCAGGAGTATATCAAGTGTTCTTAGGATCTCTTTGGAGCTTTAAATAGCTCCCAGCCTTCAGGAGGTAAATGAGCTTGCAGCTGAGTCCTTGCTTATTCAAGTTCAGGTCTCAGGGTTAAGACAGAAAAAGGAAACTTGGAGTGTAAGTAACATCAGAGAGGTCTGTTTGGCAGCAAAGATACAGGTTGTCAATCCTTTGTAACTCTGGTACAGATAACACATGGACTGTATGCAATAGGTTTAAATTCTTTTCCTTCATAGGTGAAATGGCTATGAAACAAGAGTGACAAACCCTAAGGTCTGCAAGAGCAGAACAGCGTGGTATAGGAGCCGAGGAAGGGTGAAGCAATTGAGCTGAGCTGGAAAGCACACACCTTTCTCTGCTCAGCTCCAGCCAAGTGTGCACGTGTGGAAAATAGGACCCTTCCATTAATCATTGTCCCTTCCATTAATTTTCCCAGAGAAATGAGAATTCTATATTTTTATGTAAAATGTCCTATGTTTTAAGTCTTTGCAGTCAATTTATATTTTAAACAGTGTGTGGTTCAAGTGGTGCAAACAGAATCTTTCTTTGCATAACTGAGCCTATTGGCCCCTGGTAGGTAGCTTAGGCATAAAATAGTGAGACATTATCATGTGCTGTCCCCTGAAATCATCTGATACTGCATGTGTAAATAGACGTAACTTGCGCCTGGTCAGGGTGACAGGTGGCCAGTGAGCATGGAGCAGGTGTTCTCATGAGTTGCACTGACAATGCACATCTACTGTTGCTTGTGTGGATGAGGAGCAAGACATCCTGCCTGATGGTACTTGTTTTTGGTGGTGCTTTGTGTGCTAAGCTCACTTAGCTGTGCAAATTTTGAGAGATGAACTAAACCTGCATTGACAAATAGGCTCTGTCTCCATGTTCACTCCTCAGGGTTCATAGAGGCTTTGTCTCAATACTCACTGTGGCAAATTAGTGGCTGCCTGGATCCTGAGCCATACCTATCATCCATTAGAGAGAGAGCTCTGTGATTGATTATTGATGTCTGCTTCCTGGAAACCAGAAGTACATCACTAGATCTCCAACAACTCTTAAAACAGTCTTTCTTTCAGTCTTTGACTCTCAAAGCCAATTGGATACAGGAATGAATCAGCCAGTCCAGCTAATCCAGAGGGCCCTTTATGATTTTTCTAAATTCAGAGAAATAAGGAAAGGATTCATGAGCAAAGAAATGCAGATGTTAAAAAATCCAGCAGGCAAGAACAATTTCATTTAAAAAATTTGTGGTGTGTTTGTGATTAATTATGGGGGTTTACTTATTAATTGCAGAAAATTTGGAAAAACATGGAAATTTTTGAGAAAAATTTAAAAATTACCAAGAGCTAATCAATATTACTGAGATAAAATTTCCATTAATATTTTGTTAATTTCTTGAACCATCATAGAATGAATAGGCAGCAAGCACATGTGTCTAATGTTCTCTGTGTGTGTGTGTGTGTGTGTGTGTGTGTGAGCCCTGTGTACCATGTGCCATGTTCTATGTTCTACTGGCTCCATACAATCAGATCATTAGGGCAAATATGCACTCTTGCCTGTCAGTGGTAGTTTAAGAAGCTCTACCATCTACCACTGAGGCTGCTAGAAGTGCCACCCACTGGCTGGGAGGTTTCTCTGCATGTTTCCTTTTACAGAAAGACATGGAGCACACGTGACACACCAAATGCATGAGAAGTGAAAGCAGCAGGTCCCTGGAGGGAGTGGCTCTGCCACCTTCGTGTGCTGATTCTGGAGGAGTATGCAGGAAAACCACTCACTGGCAACAATAGGAGAGAGATTGTATGACCTGAAGTCTTTACATGTAAATTTAAGCGTTTGTTAGAGCTAGAGGGGTGATCGTAAGACCAGAGGAAAAGGTGGCACTGTACAGCATTCCAAGAAGAGGGCATGTGTTAACTCTGCCAGGTGCTAAATGAGAGAAGAAATGGCAATTATCTGTTACATTTGATGAATGAAACAGTGCAAAATCTGTGAATAAAAAGCTATAAAACCATGAGAAGGAATCTCATTGAATCAAAATGTAATATAAACATCTAAACATATTTTCTAGACATAGCAAGTCAAAAACTATGATACCCCGTTGCTGCTCCCAGGGTATTCCAGTTTAGTAGAGGAGCTGAAAAACAGGGGAAGAGGACTGCTTATGGTGAAAGTGTCATACCAGGTAAGGGAAACAGATAAACTGCTATAGAAGAGCAAGCAAGCAAATGCTGCTTCTAGCTTTAGAGGTGCAGGGAGAGCAACAAATTCTCCGAATGAGCATTTGAAGTGGTATCTGAACAATTGGTGAGCTATGGACATGAATGAGCAGAAAAGTGTTGCAACTTGAATGAGTAGGAAGTACAAGTTCAACTGAAATTAACAAAGACCAAAATGCCAGTGACTTCTACCAGATAGAAGGATTTTCTCTCTTGCATGTACAGTTCAGAGCTAGCGTGGAGACTCGACACACCATCCCTC